AACCAAAAGGGAAGAACATACTCATCATATTTTAAACTAAAAGGCCCAAATTACAATATTGTAAGATTCTATGGGCAAAATATTGAATAATGCAGGAAGAATCCAAAGAAGATGGGAAGAATACAGAGTCACTATACCAAAAACGACCTAGTGGACATTCCACTATTTCAGGAGGTAGCATATGAACAAGAACCAATGGTGCTGAGGGAAGAAGTTCAAGATGTATTGAAAGCATTAACCAAAAAAACAAGACTCCAGGGATTTGTGGCATACCAATCGGAATGTTTCAGCAAGCTGATGAAGGACTGGACGCCCTTATATGTCTTTGCTATGAAGACAGCAGCTTAGCTAATGAACTGGAAGAGATCCATATCTGAGCTCATTCTAAAGAAAGGTGTCCCAACTGAATACTCAAACTATAGAGCAATATCAATGGTATTACGTGCAAGTAAAATTTGGCTGAATATCATCCAACAACGGTTGCAACAGTACATTGACAAGGAGCTGCCAGTGGTTCAGACTGGATTCAGAGGAGGACATGGAACTGCTGGTGTCAGATGGATCTTCACTGAAATCAGAGAATATCAGAAAACTTGTGTTGTATTAACTATGCCAAGACATTCAACAGTGTGGATGATAACAAACTATGGATAACTGTGAGAAGAACGGGAACGTCAGAACACTTCATTGTGCTCATGTGGAACTTATACATGGACCAAGAGGTGACTTTGGGTACAGATCAAAGGAACACTGCATGGATTAAAATCAAGAACGGTGTCTATCAGGGTTGTATTCTTTCGCCTGCTTATTTGATTTGTATGCTGAGCAAATAATGAAAGAAGCTGGATTATCTGAAGAAGAATGAAGCATCAGGATTGGAGGAAGTCTTGTTAACTGCCTAGATGCAGATGATACAACCTTACTTGCGGAAAGTGAAGTGAACTTGAAACACTTGCTGATGAAGATCAAAGATTGCAACCTCCAGTATGGATTACAGCTCCTCACAACTGGACCAATAGGTAACATCAGAACCAACAGAAAAAAAGGATGAAGTTGCCAAGGATTTTGTCTGGCTTGGATGCACACTCAATGCTCATGGAAGCAGCAGTCAAAAGATCAAATGGTGCGTTGCATTGGGTAAATCTGCTGCACAAGCCCTCTTTAAGGTTTTGACAAGCAAGGATATTTTTTCAGGACTAAAGTGCGCCTGACCCAAGTCATGGTATTTCCAATAGCCTCATATGCATGTGAAAGTTGGACATTGCATAAGGGCCCAAAGAAGAATTAAATATTGAAAAGATCATGGACTGCCCAAAGGACAAACAAGTCTATTTTGGGAAAAGTATGGCCAGAGTGCTTCTTAGACACCTGGATGGCAAAATGTTGTCTTACACACTTTGGACAGGTTGTCAGGAGAGACCAATGCCTGGCTAAGGACATCATGTTTGGGAAAGTGGAAGGGCAGCAAAAAAAAAAAAAGAAAGAGGAAGGCCTTCGATGAGAAGGATTGACACAGTGGCCGCAACAATGGTCTCAAGCACAGGAGCAACTATGGTGACAGTGCAGGACCAGCCAGTGTTTAGTTCTGTTGTACATAGTATGTGCTATGGGTTGGAACCCACTCGATGGCACCTGACAACAGCTAACAACAATACAAGCTCCCTGTGCTTAATTTAGAGGTTCTGATGGCATAGTGGTTACACACTGGGCTGCTATCTGCAAGGTCATCAGTTCAAAGACACATCTGCTCTGCTAGAGAAAGACTGGGCTTTCTACTCCAGTTAACAGTTACAGTCTTGGAAACTCACCAGGACGGTTATACCCTGTCATACAGGGTCAATATTTGCTGGCAGTGAGTGAATGAGTACTTAATTTGTTTACCTAACTCCCAAGGGATGCTGCTAGGCAAGCACTGCAGAGTCATGAACTTCTACCCTTTTTACATTGCAGTCCTCACTGAGGTTTATGAATGGGCTTATTGTCTCTTTACTTTCAGTTTACTTTCAACCCTGACTGATGAGTTCAGTTCATTTCGTTTTGTTGATGTCATTTTTAACTTTTATTGAGATTGGGGTGAAAGTTTACAGAGCAAATTGGTTTTCCACTTGACAATTCACACATTTTCTTTTGTGACATTGATTGTATCATGGGGAGAAACAGAACAAAACAAACTACTGAAACTGTATTTAAAGCAGAAACAAAGAATTTTATTAATGGCAGAAAGCAATTTTGCAAAACAAGAAAGTGCAAGTCAAGCAACCCTGGCACTGTGTCCTCCAAGAGCTATTTACTTACAAAGGCTTATAAAGAGAAACAGAAGGGTACATACAGCTGAAATGGTTGTGACTGGTTGACATTTACATAGCTTAGAGGAGGGTTAGAACAAGGCTATGGAAAAATACAAGGCCTTATAAAGACCCAGGAACAGGTTATTAAAAAAAACCTTTTGGGGGGACCACTAAAGGGGTATTTCTGAGAATTAGTAGACCTTTAAAGTCATATGTGTAACACATGTATGTACCAGAAGCCTGACAAAATCACATTCATCAACATTACCTAATTTATTCTGCACAGTTTTGTAAACATTTTCATTGTGCTACCTATGAAGCAAAAGTAAGCCGCAAACTAAGAAAAAATAGGAATTTTGGCTGCCAGTGATGGCACCGAAGGATATACATGCTGACAAGTGGGTCTGCAGACTACTGACAGGACAATGTCAGGATCTCGTTTGCATCAAAACCACACAGTAAACAGTTTGCTAGGTATTCATTAACCTATACTAAGACATAAGTTTCCTGAGAATGCAAAATTCAGACACATAAATCAAACTTCATTACATATACATAAAAATTATCAGTAAGATAAGCTGGAAAAACTAGTTTATAATGATATAGGAGGGGGCTTCAGAAAATGCATGTAAAATTTGAAGAAAAAGATAATGTAATTTTTGCACAAACTTTTTGAAGTCCACTCGAATTTTCTGTGAATATCTTTGCAGAAATACTTTTAGAAGGATTAATACAAGTCTCATCCCAATGAGATAGAAGTTAAAGATGTCACAAATGTCTGAGTTTTCCAAAGTGCTACCCCACTCCATTATCTCTGAAATGCACCACGACTCCTTCATTTAGTTTTTTTCCCTCATGTCTCAAAGTTTAGTAATTCGTTGCAATGTCTCACAGAAATTATGAACTGTCAAGGAAGTGACTTAACATGGTTGTGGAGGATTGCAAGTCCCAAATCCAAAGTTCAGCTATCTGTCTGGAAGATTCTCCTCATTCACACTAAATTGAATTGTTAACTCACAAGGCTGAGCAAGCAGGTGAATCATGTCAAGTGACAAGCTGCTGGCGCAAGTCCCAAGAATGGGAGTTCAGACAGACTCAAGCCAGATATAAGATCCAGAGCAAGAGAGCAAACTTTTTCAAAGTTGCTCAGTGCAGGTCAAACTGGCTACCTGTGTCCTGAGTTAACCATTTTATTAGGCAGTTACTGGCATCTGAATGGTATTTGTCATCAGGTAACTCAGTACTGGTTTTATGCTCAGCGTAGAAAGTAAAAAAGATAGCTTTGATACAGTTGTGGTTTTTTGTCTTCTGCACATCATATCCCCTAGGGAACAAAGAGTGGTAATGAGTCATATCCTCTAATAAGGCAGGAGCCCTGCCTCATTAGCATAACCTAATGCACTTCAAAATGGGAATTATAACCACAGGTACAGAGGCTAGAATTTATAATACATCATGAAATGGAGGACTATGGCTGGTAGGGCCATATTAACTAACTACATGGTCATCCTCTTACAAGGGGTTTCAGATAATCTTTTGTGTTTAGACACTGTCTGATAACAAGGCAAAACATCCTGCATTTGAATGTCCACAGAAGAAAGAGTTCTTTAGTTAGCAGAAGCAGGACTGGAGTTTAGGCTCCCATGAATTTAGTCATTTTTACTTATGCTTTATTTTCACTGCTCTTGGTCACTTCCGAAGTACCTGACTCTGCTAACAGTGGTGAGCCTGAGGGAGGAGTGGAGGGGCAGAGCTTACTTTGAGAGACACAATTTATTCATAAAAGGCTAAATAAAAATGCAAAATCACTGTGATCTGAGCAAGAAGGCCAGGGAAGGCTTACCATCCCAGATTCTCACTGTTGGAAGACTCCCAAGGTCACTTGGTCCAATTCTTATACCCAGTGATTCTCAGTACTTCCATGCAGTCTTGGAAGACGTAGGGTTTGGAAAAACAGAAAGCAAGAAGTGAAGGAGAGGATGACAAATGGAGGAAGCAAAGCCAGGTTTCTTTCCCAGCCTCCCTGCCCCCTTTCTTTTCAGCCTGGCCTTTGTTGTCTTAGGCTTGTGACCTATAAGGAGCCTTCCAAAACAGTTATACAATTTCCCTCCAGGTCATTTCCTGCCAAGCTTTCATTCAGGCACAAATTCCCTGCTGGGGCACTCTCTTTCTTAAAGGGCACCACTGCCTCCTCTTTTGGAAGTCGGGAATTCGCCAGTTTTAAAGGAATAATGTACCCTTGGGAATTCTATTTTATTTGCCTCAGGTCAGTGTGAGGAGTTTAATCTGAGTGCTTAGTCAAATGTATCAAATACAGCAAATGCCCTTGGAGATTCCATTCTTTAGACCCTGAATGCAAATGTGGTGGTTTTGGGGGGTTCTTTGATGGTTATTATTATTTGATATTTGCCGTTGATTTCTAAAACTAATCACGTGGAAGAAGCCACAAAAAAATGAAATCCCTTCGACATCTAGTGTACAGAACAAGGGTGGAATACTGAAATAGTCACTTAAGTGTTTCGAAAATAAACCTCGGAAAGCACATTGCCTAGGGTGGCACATTTCAACAAGGGCGAGGGCGGAGGTGCTGGGGGCGAGGCCTGGCCCAGGGAGAGCCTGGACTGACAGCCCGGCTCCACCCCCTGCTCGCGTTTCTAGCAAGTGGAGGCGGTGCTGCGACTGGCGTTCTGTCCCTGGAGTTGAGCGGAAGATGCCAGAAGCACACTAGGAGGCCACGCTGGAGTTAGAGTCGCTGAGAGGAACGACCCGACACTGTCGCGGGTCCTTGGGTGTTGCGGGTGTCGCCGGTCTGTAGCTCAGAGGACTTTACCGGGCCACCAAGCAAGGGTGAAGCTGCGAGGGCACCCACTGCATCTGGGCTGTTGTTTTTGTGTTTTTTTTTCCGGGGGATTAGGAACGCTTCACAATGAGGAGCCGGAGTAACTCGGGGGTCCGGTTGGACGGCTACGCTAGGCTGGTTCATCAAACCATCCTGTGCCACCAGGTAAATGCACGGTTATTGCCTGTCATTGTCAAGGATGTGGAGGGTCATGGCCAGTACGGGGAACCCAGGCGACACACCGAGCATGTGTCTGTAGCAAGTTCTCCCATCCCCTTAGCTGGGTAGGCTCTAAAGGACCCTTCAGAAATGGAAGGTGTTGAGTCTGGAACAGAGCCAGAGTCAGACACCCACGGCCAGGAGTCCCTGCCTTTCGGCTTCCGAGCCCTTAAACAGCCATGTTCCTGGGGCAGAGTTGGAGCTGAAACTTGTTTGGCACTCCCTCCCACCACGGATCACCTCTCTTGGGAGTCATCTTGGGGTAGTTAAGACTACACTATTGTGAGGCATCTTGTATATACTGTTAATTATATTTCCTTTATCCTTTAGTTCTGCTTTGTGTTGGTATTTCATTATTTCTAACTGGAAAGTTATAAAATTGCCTTGAAAAAACCAAATGTATATATTTCAGACTTGTAAAGCATCGGCTAACTCTGTAGCTTCTTTCAAGAGAAGCTACATGCAGAAGCTGTGGAAATAAAATTGCCGGATGGAGAAGTACAAGAAAGACTAAAATCCCCAGATAACCCGTTGCATAAATCTAGCTCCTAATAATAACACTTACAGCCACCTGTCTACTTGCTTTTTCTTGGCCTCGCAGAATCCAGTGACAGGCTTGCTTCCAGCCAGCTTGGAGCAGAAAGACGCCTGGGTCCGGGATAACGTGTACAGCATCCTGGCTGTGTGGGGCTTGGCTCTGGCCTATCGGAAGAATGCAGATCGAGATGAAGATAAGGCAAAGGCCTACGAACTGGAGCAGGTACTCAGAAGAAAACTAGAGAGAGAGCTGGAACTGTGGGTGGGGGTGGCTGGAGCTGCGGGTAGGCTCAGGATCAGAAAAGGGGAGTGAAATAAGAGCACTGTGTTTTGACATTTTCATTCTCCCTTAGCCGCTCTGAAATTACATTCGGAAAAACTTTCCTGATTCCCCCTCCCCCGCAGCCCCCAGTGCAAACTAGAAACTTGCTGAGTCAGAGGGAGAGGGCAGTCTATTCAGTTCCAGTGGGAAATCTTATCCTTGTACCTTTCTTGAAATTTATAATCCTCTTTCTGAATAAATGTACTTTGTAACTTTAGGCTTATCTATTCTCACTCTTTAGTGGCAGTTATCTATTTTTTAAGAATGTTTTACAGTATTTGTATGAGGTTAACTGACACAAATAAGCAAACTTTCTCAACCAGACACAAATAAGAGAATTTATTTATCGATTTTATTATCTCTAATCACTGCTTTTGAGCCTGCTGCTTTTTGAAAGGAAAGATAGGAGCAAAATAAGGTCAGAGTCAGCAGATGCCTTAAGCCAACATTGAAAGCACTTCTCCATAAAAAAAACACCCTTTGTAGAATTGTTTCAATATATTGGATGCTGCATCCTATTGAACACTAAGAACAAATATTCTGGGATGCATGAGTCTTTTACAGTTGAGGTACTCTGCTGTCAGTTTTAAGATATATGCAGATCATTTGCCTTGAGTAGCAAAGAGTCTGCCCATGCCAGCCTTTGTCAAGTGATGCCCCTCAGATTTATGCAAATTGTGCACTAGTCTTCATCTGTAATTAAGCTACTGAGATTTGGTTATTTTCAAGTGCTCCAACATATTGCAGTTGATTACAGTCTTTGACAAAAGGGGAAGTTTCATTGTTTTCTTCTCTGCAACAATAATTTATTAATCCTTCAAACCAATATGCAGAGATATTTCGGCCCACCAAAAACATGTCAACTTTGCAGGATGATTGGTCAACAAGAAAACAACAGATTTCTCATGCTCGTATTGAAAAAAAAATAGTCAAATTGTAAGAGGGGTGGAATTGCCTGTTCCACTTACATTGATTTCTATTTTTAAAAAATCATCCAAGAAATAAAAATAATTGAAATGAGAATTGCAGAACATTAATAGAAAAAAAAGTTTTTTTTCTCTCCCTGGAAGTACAGATTAATATGTTATGACTTTGAGGTTATAAAAATGATATATACCACTGTGAAATTTTAGAAAATATAGTAGGGCATTAAAAATTGTTTATAATCATACCCACTTCCTTCCTCCTCCAGCCTACTGTTCATGTTGTGCTATTTTCATTTCATTTTGTTTGTTAGTTGGTTGATTTTTTTTGCTAGAAATAAATATAAGGAAAACAGGAATTCCACCCCTGGAACAATTTGACCACTTTTTTTCAATACTATTAGGAGAAATTGATTATTTTCTTTTCGACCAATTATGTTGCAAAGTTATTTTTCCTTATATAACCCTGGTAGAAAGAATTTAATGGAAGAGTGGGAGTAAAGATAGGGAAGCACTGAATGGCCCATTTGAAGATTTTAATGTAACATGATTTTTCACGTATCATAAAATTGACCTTCATAACACTTCAATAATAATTTAGAAATGTCTCAATAAACAATATGACAATAGGAAGCATCTCTTAAAAAGAAATATTTCAAAAAGAAAAGTTTCTCTGAGAATTCTAAAATCTCTATGAACTTACATTATAGATTAAAATGGATTTTATTATTAGATCTCATTAATATTTTTCTCACACTTGTCTCAGCATTTAGACCAAGGGCTGGCAAACTACCTCTGTAAAAGGCCAGGTAGTAAATATTTTCAGCTCTGTGGGTTGTATGTGGCCCCTGTTGTAACGATTCAGTTTGCGGTGGTTGTCCAAAAGTAACTAGAGACCAGACAAAAATGAGTGGCTGTGGCTATGTGCCAATGAAACTTATTTAAGAGCATGCCAACAATGGGGTTTTTCTACCCTTTCTTCCAACTCTTACCTCGGCTTCCCTGTTGTGAAACATGCGTCAGAAAACTGAAGAGAATTCCGAATGAAAGGTGAACAAAGGTTTAAGTGAGTGTCACGTCCTAGATTGATAACAGAATTATGCATACGTGTTTTTTACAAAGGCCTTTATCTTTACTCTTGGTTACACAGATGCAGAATTATAGCCATAAAATGTAAACAGAAACAGAAGGTTATATATGTGGCTGCCTCCAGTTTTGTTTCTTCAGTTTAGTTTTCTGTATGTAGCCTTATAATTTCCCATGACTGACTTTTTGAAAATGACTTTGAAATATAAATCTTTAACCTTGGTTTTCTGTTGTCTGTGGATCATTTCCACTTGTTATATCCGGTGGTTTCTCAAAGTCAATTACGTCTATAAGCCCACCTTCCCAACAAAAACAAACTACCGGCAACATCAACTCACTAAACATCCCTTTTTCTTTATAGGTGTCCCTGTTCTACCAATCATTCAGACATTAGCTGGAGTGTTTTCCATGGTGTGTCCAATCAAATACTAGGTCAGCTACGTTTAATCGAGTATTTTAAATAAATTATGAAGGTGGATTTTACCCCCTTTCCAGAATTTCTTAGAAAGGTACTAAGTACTAAGGTACTGTTGATAGATATCATTTCTCTTGAATTTTTGTCTTTTAATTCCCCTCTGCTTCAACACTAGTCTAAACCCTGATCATCTCACACATAAATTATGTCATTCCCAGCCTCAGTCTTTCTTCAGCTCTCATTTGCCTACAGGTAAAGTCCAGACGTGTTGGTTTGATTATTAAGGCTGTGCAATTTAGCCATAGGAAGTCCTGGTGGCATAGTGGGTTACACATTGAGGGCCTAACCACAAGGTCAGTGGTTTGAGCCCACCAGCTGCTCTTTGAGAGAAAGATGAGCCTATCTACTCCTTGAAGATTTAAGGTCTCAGAAATCCAAAAGGGGGAAATTCTACTCTGTCCTATAGGCTTGTCATGAGTTGGAATCAACTCAATGGCAGTGGATTGTTGATTGCTTTTAGAGTTTGTTCCTAACCTAATTTTTCAATATCATATCATACTCGTGCCCTCCATTTAACCTCCAGTTCCAGCTAGGTTGGTGTCCTCGTTGCTCCTCTAACAATCCCATAATAAAAATAGCTTGACAGTTATATTTGCGGGTGAAAGTCTAGGCTTCCTACTCTTATAAATTGTTACGGTATTGGAAACTTACAGGTAGAGTTCTACCCTGTCCTATAGGCTCGCTGTAAGTGAGGGCAATGAGTGAACAGTTACGTTCTGATGACTGAATGCACATATGTAATTAATGCTAACTTGTGGACCATCCAGGTTGGGAGAACACAAAGTACAGGTAGTTCCTTTCATTCCTAACATCCCATGCTTCCTGATAGGAAGTTGAGACTTGAGTACAGACATGGCTGGTACTTGTCATTCCAAAGAGGAAGAAATTAGATGCCAATCGGCATCCTCCACTGGGTCCATGATAACCCAAGTTATAATCGATGAGATGAAAGGAGTCTAGGTGATACAAATGGTTGAAGAGTAAGCAGGAGAAAAGAGTGGTTAGAGTAGTAGGACATCAAAGAAGCCAAGCTAGTGAACCCAGGCTGTACTAGTGTACTAGGTTGTAGGATAATAGTTGAAGCCCATTTTAGTTGATTATAGACTTTCAAGATGTTTAAAGAAAGAGCTCCTTTAGGTCATTGTTTCAAAACAAAACAGATTTGAATAAAGGCTTACCCTGGCGTGGGGAATTTTAACTGCGTCTTGTAACAGGGTAGATTAAAGGGGAGGATGCACTCTTTCATTAGGAAAAATTAGCGATTTCATGTAAGGATCGTAGGCAGTTTCATTGCTTTATAATAATTGCTTCATTCTTTAAAAGATGATATGCTCATGTCCTGCCTATTCCTTCTCTTTTCCCTCACTCGTTCCTTTCATCTGTAAACAGGGGGCCTACTTATAGACAGAAATTACTCGGAGAAGGGAATTCTCCCCAGGAAACCACTTTATTATTTCCCTTAGTAAAAGCCTTCATAAAGAAATGGAGTATAAAACTGAAATAGGAGCCATACCGTACATCATACATAAAGATCAATTCAAAATGTATTAAGGTCCTAAATTTGCAAATTAAAACCATAACATTCTTAGAGAAAAGTCAGGTCAATTCTGTCAGGCCTAGTTTTAAACAATGGATTATCTAATATAATTAAGCACAAAAGGCAAAAGGCAAAGTAATTAATTGGAACTTAATAAAAGTTAAAAACTTTTGTTCATTAAAAGACTTATCCAAAAAGATGAAAATAGGAGCTGCTAAATAGTTGAATACCTTTGAAAACCATATATGTGATGAGAATTTAATAACCAATATATATGTAAAGCGTTGTCAACTTAAGACAAATAAACTAATCATAAAAAGGATAAAAATCTTGAATAGACATTTCATCCAAGAGGACATTTAAATGGCCACTAAGCACATGAAAAGATGCTCAGTGTCATTAGCCATCAAAGATGCAAACCAAAACGATGGGAAACCATCTCACTACCACCCAAACACCAAAAAACCAAACTCATTGACATCAAGTCAGTGCTGACTCATAGAGATCCCCTGTGAGTTTCCGAGACTGTAACTGTTACAGGAGTAGAAAACCTAGTCTTTCTCCTGCAGAGCTGCTGGTGGTTTTTGAACTGTCAACCATGCAGATGGCAGCCCAACTCATAACCACGATGCCACCAGAACTCCTCTCACTCCCACTGGGATAGCTAAAATTAAAATAAAACAAAACAAAAAAATACCCTGAAAGCAAAAAATGCTGGTGAGAAGGTGGGGAAATCAGAACCCATATACATTATTGGTGGGAATGCAAACTGGTAAAGCCATCATGGAAAACAATGTGTTAGTTTCTCAAAAATCTAAAAATAGAACATATCGTTTGACCCTAGGTATATTCCACCAGGTAATTCCACACCTAGATATAT